GATGCTGCTTGGCCTGCTGTGTTCATCCAGCCCTGCACCTTGTTGTCACTAATGAAGCACTGTTGGCTGGTGCATGTTGGTGTACCTTTATTCCTTCCCATTCTTGGCCCATCCTCCTGGAAGTGGGATGGATGGAACGGTTGGTAGTGAGCAGATACCACAGGGTAACCCACATGCACACTGCTGGTAGCCAATTCAGCTTGATAATGGTCACTTAAAAGGGGGTGACTGTACTTTTCAGTTAGTCTTCAGGTTCCTGAAAGCGGCAGTGGACAACTGAAGTACCTGAAGGTGGTTTCCTCACTGCAGAAGGTGTGCCAGAGTAGTAGCTTAGTAGCAAAGGTCATTTTTAAAATTACATCTTGAAAGAGTAGAAGAGACAGATCCGCTATTTTGCAGAGTTCACCCCCTCACTTACTTGCTATGATCTCCTATTCTAGATTTGTTTGAAGTCTATTCAATTTAGCATGGTGATAGTGCTACACAACATGATGTAAGGTGTTATCAATATGAAGGCAGGCTTTCACCTTGATAAGAATTGTGCAATGGTCACCCTTACTGATACTGTCATGGACAGATATATCTGGCCCAGGCAGATTGGTGAGAATGAGATGAAGTATGTACTTCCTCTTGTTTGGTTCCCTCATCACCTGATGCAGACCCAATCTCGCAGCTGTATCCTTTAGATCAGTCAGTGGTGGTGCTGCTGCTAAGCCACTGTTGGTGATGGACTGTGAAATTCCCCCACCCAGAGTACATTCTGTGCCTTTCACCCCCACCCCTTTTGTGCTTCCTTTATATAAGCACACAGTCATCAGCTGAGGGAGGACAGTATGTGGTCATCAGCAGGAGAATTCTTTTCCCATATCTGGCCTAATGCCACGAAGCATCATGGTGTCCAGAGTCAATGTTGAAGACTCCCAGGCAACTCCCTCCTGACTGTATACCACCTTTTCTGGACCTGTCCTGCCAGTGGAATGGGACATATCCAGGGATGGTGATGGTGGTGTCTGGAATATTGTCTCTGAGGTATGATTCCATGAGAATGACGATGTCAGGCTGTTGCTCGACTAGTCTGTAAGACTGCTCTCCCAATTTTGGCACTAGCCCTAGATATTAGCAAGGAGGACTTTGCAGGTTGTTTTTGCTGTTGTCATTTCTGATGTCTGAGCTTTTGCCAAGTGGCCCGTCCAGTTTAATTTCTTTGTTGAGACTTCGTAGCGATTGGTGCAACTGAGTGGCTTGCTCGGCCATTTCAGAGGACAGTTGAGAGTCAAGCACATTCTGTGGCTCTGGAGTCACATATAGGGCAGACCAGATAAGGATGGCAGATTTACTTCTTGAAGGACATTAGTGAACCAGATGGGTCTTTCCTAGCAATCAACAGTGGGTTCATGGTCATCATTAGACTCTTAATTCCAGATATTTGTTGAAACCAAATACCATCTGCCATGGAGGGATGTGAACCTGTGTCCCAGAAAATTACCTGAGTTTATGGATTAATAGTCTTTCAATAATACCACTCGGCCATAGAAGTATAAAAGCAGGCAAGTGTTGCTATGGACAGAGATGCACATGCAAACCTTCAGTTTTAGTCTCCTTAAGAAAGGACAAATCTGAAGTAGAAGTGACTTGAATGCACGGATGCTGAAAGGATATTTTCCTTGTGGGTAAATCTAGAGCTAGGGAGTTGAAATGAGGAGAAATGTTTTCTTTCAAGGATCGGTTGTCTTTAGGATTCTTTTCTCCAGCAAGCACTGAATAACTAGGAAATTAAGGTTTATGGAGACAGAGAAGAAAATGGAGTTAAAGTCACAATCAGATTAGCCATTGTTAGAGTTTAACTGGGAAGACAGCGTTGATAAATGTGCCCTACTGTCCCATGAGCTGTGTTGTAAAGTATAAAATTCCAATTAGACCACCAAAATTTCAGGGCAAAAGCAATTCATGCAAGTTTTATCATTAACAGAAAAATACCTCTATTTATTGTAACACACTTTATCAGAAGATGGAGAAAAGGATTTCTAATCTGCTACTGTGATTTAAACCATACCCTTTAATAACCCCAAATATGCACGCACACACACATTCACAATTAGAACAGATAAAAGACAAATGTTTTAAAAGTACAATGAATTGTAAAAGAATATAGACAGGGTAAACAAAATTCCAAAGATCTGAGTCCTGACTTCAAGGGTTGATTAAATTGTCTCATACTATCCTTTTGATTTTTAGCATTGATGACACTATGTTATCTGTAGAGTGATGATCACTCTTCAATAGTTGATCAGGTGAATCTAGGTCTTTTCTTTTCTCTCTTTTAAGCTTTCTTGGTTTTTCTGTCTTTTTCATACAGAGAGACAGAGACAGAGAAAGAGAGAGAGAGAGAGAGACAAAGAGATGGATGCTTTCTGCTTGCAGGTTTTGGATGTTTCTCTCTGCTGCCCTGGCACAACAGCTTCTGACACACTGTAGATCAACCTATCAGAAGGCTGTCATCAGGCAGTATTTTCTGAATTCTATGAGTTAACTGCTGCTTAGTTTCAAATTCCCAACGTTTCTTCAAAAAGCAGCATTGTATTTCACAGCTCAGAAATATGCAGCACTTGATTTTCAAGTTGCAAAACTCCCACAATATTTTGGTTTTGATAATAATCCAATTTACATTCAGTTTATAGTCCTGTAAAAGAAATTATGTGGTCTCTTGCACATTATCTACTCAAGCAGCAGAGCAGACTTGAGGGGCCAAATAGCCCAGTCCAGTTCCTTATCCTGTGTTCTGTGTAATGTTGGAGATGATATATTAACATGCATAGAGGACTGGCTAACTAACCAGAAACAGAGTAGGGATTAGTGGGTCATTTTAGGTTTACAACCTGGCTCGTGGAGTGCTGCAGGAATCAGTGCCAGCTCCTCAACCATTTACAGCGTATACAAATAATTTAGATTAAATGACTGTCTCAAATGTAGCCAAATTTTCTGATGATGTGAAGATCAGTAAGAAAGAAAGTTGTGAGGAGGATATAAAGAATCTGCAAAGAAAATAGATAAAGTGAGTGCAGAAAATTGGCATATGAAATACAACGTGGGAAAGTACAAAATGTCCATTGGCAGAAAATATTAGAAAAGCAGAATATTATTTAAATGGGCAGGTTGCAGAATCCTGTGGTATAGGGGGATCTGCATCTTCATGTACAGAAATAACAAAAAGGTTAGTAAGTACAACAAGTGATTAAGGCGGCAAACAGAATGTTACCCTTTACAGGGAGAATACAGTACAAAACTAAGTATATACTTCTCTACATGTACAGGACATTGGTGAGGCTGTCTGCAGTTTTGATCATGTTACTTAAGAAGGTAGAAATGTGCATTGGATGCAATTCAGAGAATCACAGAAGGAGGTCATTCAGCCCATTATATCTGCACTGGTTCTCTGAAATAGATATTTACTTGTGCCATTCCACCACCTTCTCCCTGTAACACTGCACATTCTTTTAGGATAACTA